GGAACTTTGCGGTCTGGGTACCTTACGGCTTTTGTGGGCAGCATCGTGGAAAAAAATTTCCATCTAACGCTTTTTTCAAACCGGAGAGGTCTGGTACTGCCCATTCCGGTAAAGAGAATTCACGAACTCCCTTGCCCCAGCTACTACCCCCACTATTTGAAAACTGTTCCCGCTCATTTCTTTTTCTTTCTTTTCTTTCTTTTTCTTTTTGAATATCATAGGGAACTGATCTCTATTGGAAGGGGAAGATCTTCACGTTAGGTCGTCTGTCTCATACCTTTCCCCCTCTAGTTTTGGATAAAGGATCTAAAGTGAACTCGGAAATGCAAGTGGATATTGAATATATCAATACTTGATTCACTCGAAAATTTCCAAATTCAGCCAACATTTTAAAAATAGGCCCTCTTTATATTTGTTACCTCCTTTGATGCGTTATCATCGAAAGACATGGAAAACTGATAACCCCATTTTAAACTTTAAACGTAATGACTTTAAACTTAAATGACATGTGCAAAGTTATAGTCACATGGTGTGTGCTTTCCACAGATTACTTTTTTAACGGTCACAAAAATAAATGCATTAAATGTAGGTGAGAGTTCCAAAATGGAGCTAGCTTCTCGCTTTCAGCCCTAGAGCAGTTTCACCAGCTGTTTTCACCCTTAAGTTACACTTTCTTTTAAAAGTATTCCATAGACATGTGACTTTGTGAAGGCCCTAGGCAATTTTGCTTGCAGATTATTCTAAATACCAGCAATATAATGCACTGATCATATTCTACTTGGTGAATATCTTGCCTCAGATACTGGAGGGTGCAGCCTGGGGCATTGGAGAGTTAGGGAACAGTCTGCTTTTATTGTAATGTACCAGTTCCATAATGGATTGGATCCATAATAGGCTATGGATATAGACTTGATGATGAAAGGTAAAAATTTGGGACAATTTCTTAGAACTCCAAAAGGAAGGATTTTTGCTGCTAGTGCTCATTGTTACTGCCTAGATGATAAAAAGGTTAAAAACGGAAGAGCTTCTTGATGTTCAGTTGTGTTTCAGTTGATCAGCTCTTTGTTGCAGTAACAAAATTATTTAGCAGTACAGCTCCATTAATTAGTTTACCATAAGGTGCTTTGAAGGTGAAGTGTTATGTAAGTGAAAGAGTATTATACCTTTTCCTCCTCCTTGTGTCAGTGCGCTAGTTTAAATAGTCCCTTATTTAAAAAAATCTACCTGAATTATTAGCAAAGCAGATACCTCTACTTGTTAAGTAACCATTAGAGAAAATTGTGCACACTTTTGAGTGTTACAAGAGTGTTACTTCTGGTCTGATTAACATCTGACTGACTTGGGTAGAAATTTATGTAATTTCTGCTTCATTTTTTGCTTTGTAAAACAGAAGATGGATTATCCCTCAATGCACCCCCCGGTTCTTATTGGAGCAAACAATATCCCTGCTCTAAGTATGATAGAAAAGCATCTTGTTACAGGCTACTCCTGAAAAAGGGGTCTGAGGCGAGGGGCACACTGTTCTCCAAATATTTGCTTTCATGACATTTGAATAATCTGACTAATCAGTGCTTGTTTGAGTTTTTATAAGGAATATTATACCTAGCACTCCTCTATCCTGCTCTTAACCCTGGGGAGCTTGAAAAAATACTGATGCCTGGGCCCTACCTCAGACCAATTAAATCAGAATCTCAAAGTAGGCCTAGGCAGGGGATAAAAACATTCAGAAGATGTCCCAGAAAAGGCTTCAGGTTTCTACCTCCTACCATTATTCTTTGTTCTTTTGTTGCTGAACTTTTTAATGAAATGATTTGGGGAAAGAATAAAGGACATTTCTATATACTTTAGTCAGAAAGGTAGATTCAAATGGCAAAGTTGATGAAGATGTTGCTGTGTATTGATATTCTTTTTATTATTTACAGCTTGCTTTTGACCCTGACAATGTGAAACAGTGGATTAAGGTAAGGATATTGCACAATAAAGACAGAGAATTACGAGTCAAATGTAATAGAATGGAAAAGGAATAGTGATAGATCTCTATTTTGCACATATTTTGCTGTTTTTATTGCCTTAGTTTTATACTCTTCAAGAGAGGAGAGGAGAGACCTTAGGAGAGGATGTTGTGGTCTTCCTCAGATAATTGGAAAGACTGTACTGTAGTTACATTGACCTGTGGGACCAATAGAATAAGTAAAAGCTATGCACGCATTACAAGTAGGAATCTCCTAATGACCAGAGCAATCCAGAAATGGAGAGAGCATTCTTATAAATGTTTTCTATCACTGGAGTATTCATATGGATGCTATATGGTCACTTAATGTTAGTACTAATAAAGAACGTGTTTGAGCATTCAGTGAGGGGGTGGGAGGATTTGGTTAGATAACCTCTAAGATCTCTTCCAGGCCTGAGGTGTATATTTTTGAGTCGAAGTACCGTTTCAGTTGAAAAAACCATTAAACCATTTCAGGTGCATGCCTCTGAGTGTCAATTTGGCAACTTGCCATACTCAACTTATCTGCGTAACACATCATTCAAAATCATGCATCATTTTCCTGGGGAAATATTCTTCTACCCGATAGTATTTTGAAGAGCTATTACTTAGCTAAATTTATAGGCATTATGAACATAAGGACAGATGGAACCTAGGTCAGATATCATTGTTAACCATTTATTTATCTGCCCAGTATTTACTAAGTGCCTACTAAGTGCTAGCTAACTATTTTGGATACTGGAGATAACACAGTGCATGGTGCAAGTATAGTTCCTACCTTTCCAGAGTTTATAGTCCAGTGGGAGATAAACAACTTACTTAAAACTGTCAGGAGAATTGAGGATGTAATGGAAGCACTAATATAAGTGGAACCATTTTCCTCTTTCATATAGTTGTTAGCCATCTTGACTCAGATTTGTATTATTTCTTTTATCATTCCCCTGAAACTTTTGCAGTAGCTTTTTCCATTATTCCCTCAAATCGCCCGTCTTGAAAAAAAAAACAGTGAGTCCTCGTTGGACCCCTAAGTCCATTCTGATGGCCATATAATTTCTTTTTCTTATCTAATGTCTTAGATGTATAGCCTGGACTCCTTGCCATTGTATTTTTATTATCCTCTGGTGTCCACAATTATTTCACTCTAGTTTCTATTTTTTACCACTCCAAAGAAACTGTTGTACTGACCAAATCTGATGGTCTTTTCTTTGTCCTTAAACTTGATGGCTCATTTGCTGTAGTTGTCACTTTTTTATTCTAGAAATCCTCTCTTCCATTATCTTTTATAACACTGTTTTCTCTTGCTTCTCTTATCGCCTCTCTGTTCACTTTGTTGTTTTTTTTTTTGGTTTTGTTCACTAATATATCCCAACTTTGAGAGTACTTTAAATAGTTGTAACTTCTAGACCTAAGACTTCAAAGTCTACTTGAGTGAACCACCCTCTCAAAATCAGCTAAGACCTTGTTACGTGGAGCAGGGGGAGGCAGGTATATGGAAAGGATGTGGAGCATGGTGAAGGCTGAGAAAAGACTTTCTTCAAAACAGAAAAGGAAGATCACCCTGAAGCACTGGAGACTTGGCTAAAGCAGATAATCATAATTTTTTTTGTGGTACCAAAAATCGGTAGATCAACTTGATCTAGGCTTGAAGGTTTTCATTGGAAAGGCAAAGGAACAATAAATTTGAGGCTTATATAAGATAGTAGCTGAATATCCACTCAGAGTAGGAAAACAAAAGGACCCTTCAAAGGACTCATGGGTTGGGAGGAGACAGCTTATGGAGACTGGAGGACTTGGTTAGGTGCAACACCAATGTTGTGGAGTAGGGGGAATGAAGGAGGGAGATGGATAGCAGGTTGATGTTGGAGGGGAGATTATCAGCATTGGGTTTGACCAGTGAAAAATTTTGTGTGACATGGTTCAGGATGACCATGTCAGTGGGTTGCTAAAGTGCAGTTGAGGGGAAGGCTGTTGGAATACAGGAGATCAAGCAAACCTTGAGGTTAGAATGTGGGTGGGTCTTCCTCAGGGATGTCGAAGTCACTTAGAATCAGGCAGATGCTTGGTAGCACTATGAGTTCTGGACAGCTCCCCCAAAATGCAACAGTCCACCACAATTTGCATTTCATCCTCATCTCATTTGATAGACTGACTCATTCCAGTGCATTCTGCTACTTGGACTGAGCTTTTAAAACATTCTCATTGTGTCAGTTTTCCACTGTTGAACCTTCAGTAGTTCTGCATGCCATCAGAAGAAACTCTAAATTCCAGGCATTTAAGGCCCTCTATCAATCTACCTGTAATGTCAATTTACCTGTAACAGCCCCTTTACTGATATTCTGTGTGAATTCCTGTCAGGCCAGTCTCCTTCCCCTCTATCAGATAAGACTTCCCTTTGCTTTGATTCATGTTGATGGCCCAGCCTGGAATACTCTTCCCCTCTGGGAGGCTAATCCACATTCTTCCCTTAAAGCTCAGCCTGAGATGCTCTTCTCCATAAACAGCTCCCCCTCATCCACCTTGACCACCTGATCCCATCTTCTAATACCTCGGAACTATTTTGGCATTTATACACACAGATACAGTGTCAAGCATTTGCTTGTGTACAGAGTAATTTTTAAAAAGTGGGCACTTTCAAAAATATATTACTTCTCAAACTATTATATATGCACATGCAATTTGCACTTGAGGGCATGTCAAGAAATTTGTGTTTGTACGTCCCAGCCTTGAGGAAATGAAGGAATACATTGTAGCTGCTGTTTCTGCCATTGATGGCGATGGGTCACAAAAAATCATGGACAATGAGATTGATGTGTGCCATGAGACATGAGGAGCACGTGTAGGCATACTTTGTTTTATTGCACTTCACTTTATTGCGTTCCACCGATACTGCATTTTCATCAGCACAGAGGCAAGACCCTCTACCAGCAAAAAGATAACAAGTTGCTGAAGGCTCAGATGATGGTTAGCATTTTTTAGCAATTATTTTTAATTAAGGTATGTCCACTGTTTTAAAACATAATGTTATTGCACCCTTATTAGATTACATTATAGTGTAAACATAACTTTTAAATATACTGGGAAACCCGAAAATTTGTGTGCCTCACTTTATTGCAGTATTTACTTTATTGCTGTGGTCCGGAACCAAATCAGCAACATCTCTGAGGTATTTCTGAATTGAGAATTTATAAGGTCATGGAAATAACTAAGATAGTTCCTGTATGAATTATATATTTATATATAACATAGCTACTAAGTAACGAACTTTGGAAGGTAGTTTTTTTTTTTTAATCAGCCTGTGTTGCTTTAGAACTATTATAAGTTGTTTATTGCACATATGGCATAAGAAACCAAAAAAAAAAAAACTTTTTGAGAGCAGAAGATTCTAGTTTTATATTCCCCTTAATGTCCATTACAGTGCTGGTAACAGCTAGCTAGGCTTCAATAAACTAGCTTAAAAAAAGAGTTGTTAAATCAACACAAGGTTTGTTTTACTGAAATATAATTTAAGCTAGACCTCTCCTATCTCTTACATATTTATTTGGGAAAAAAATAGTAAGGATAATATATTTTAAAACAAAGAAATATAGAGCTTATTTCTAATCCTTAGTATCATCTAGTATGTTTTTCAATATCTTCATTTAAATGACATCCCAAACACTTGCTTTGTTAGAGCCAAGCAAACATCTCTTTACTCCCTTCCTTGTCAGGACCAGACTCTATTCTTCTTTAGTACCAAAATCAGTATTCCTCCTCCTGTCTCTGTTAGGAGAAATAATTCCTGGTATTTAAGGCAACAAATGCCATCTTATGAAGCAAGCCGATTGCCAGTTCATCCTGCAAGGGGTGGGCTCCTATCACCTGAAGGGAATATTCTGATAATGTAAACTATGGAAAAGTGCAGCTTTTAAAAAGTATTTCATTCACTTTTTTTAAACACACATTTGTGAGAATCTATTATGTGCCAAGCACTGTTCTAGGTGCTAGGGGTTTCATGCATGCAGAAGACAAAAATTCCTATTTATATTCTACTTGGGGGAGATAATAAATGATAAAATATATATAAGGCCATAAATGCTGTAGAGAAAGTCAAAACAGAGCAGGCGAGTAGGGAGAGCCAGGAGGAGGGTGGTTACAGTTTCATATAGGGTAGTCAGAGAAGGC